CTAAGGCCAAGGCTGGCAGCTTTTCGCATGCTTGCCTCAACCACTAGGCAATACAGCTTCAAGTCCTACCCACCACACGAAGCTCCCGAGTTGTGTTTGTGGGTACCTCTCAGCCCAGAAGTAGGGAATCCTTACTGCAGTGTAGCCTTGAACAAAGAACACCATAAAGTTTCAATGCTTTGCTCACTCCAGGCCCAAGAAGGCTGCAGGAGCTTGCTTGGGGTAGACTGCAGCCTTGGGCTGGAGGGATTATCAGGTAAACAGAGTCAGAGAAGGCTTCAGCCCCCACAGAGCTCATGCTCTGGTTGGGGAGGCAGAGGTCACACACATCATTGCCCACATAAGTTAATGCTTATTGTCTTCACTGCTATAGAAGAAAAACATGGAGAGCTATGAGGACACGTAACCAGGGGCCTGACCTGGTGCTAGCAGCTGGAGAAATCCTCTCTGAAGAAGTGACATTTAGGTTGAGGACAGAGGACAGGTCAGAGTGGTTAACCAAGAGGAAGGGAAAGAGGAAGAAAGGCGGCAGGACAGAGCACTCTCTCTCTTTCCACTCAGCTCTTTCTCCAGCCTTTCCCTGGGTATATGAGATAAACTGCACAGTTGACACCGACCTATGCTGCTCAGCTAGGCAAAGGGTCTGGACACCATCCCCTACCCAAAGTGCCATCAGAGCACCAAGCAAGCCTGGACCTCAGCCCAAGACACCAAGCTCAGGCAGTGATTAATGAACCCACATCTGTTCAGTGCTACCAGGGGCAAAAAATTACATCCCAGATTATCAAGGCTAACGCCTATAATCCTAGCACTCTGGGAGGCCAAGGGAGAAGGATTGCTTGAGGCCAGGAATTCAAGACCAGCCTGAGCAACGTAGTGAGACCCTATCTCTACAACAAATTTAAAAAATTAGCTGAGCGTGGTGGCACTCGCCTGTAGTCCCAGATACTCAGGAGGCTGAGGCAAGACGATTGCTTGAGCCCAGGAGTTTGAGGGTGCAGTGAGCTACGATGACACCACTATACTCTAGCCCCTGGCAACAGAGGGAGACCCCGTCTTAAAAAAAAATTTAAAAAAAGGAATGAAGAGTTTCTGTAAGGAAAGAAAAATAAGAAGAATGCAGAAATCAGTCAGAAACCTAAAACAAATAATCAAAGCAAAATACAGACCAGTGGTCACAAGCCACACTGTGAATATTCAATTATGACTCAAAAAGCTAATGGGCAACACTGGGGGAGTCTTTGCTAAGGCCTGTCTCTGCATTCTGAAGGCAGTTGCTCCAGGCCTTCGAAGCCCGGAATGCCACTTCACCACCGGGCCAGCAGATTCGTAACTTTTCACATACAAATGTTCCACTCTTGGTGCTTTGACAATTGGCCAATTTACTAGTTACATGAAGAGTAAACAAGCCTTGTTGTTGTTGCTGTTTTATGTATTTCATACAAAACCAGCATGTATTTCCTTGTTTTAGCCAAAAAAAATATATATTCTGACTATCATGGGATCAACTTGGTCAATACTTATTACATAAGACCACATTCTCTAGGTCAAAGAGCACTGAGTCTGTAGTCTCAGCTGTTGGGCCATGACCCTTCGACCCGAGGCAAATCTCTTTCCTTCTTTGAGCCTGGCTCTCTTACGCAGTAAAATGAGGGCACTAGTCTAGAACACAGGTTGTCAAACCCAAAAATTTTACCTTGGAATCCACCAGGGGAGTGTGTTAAAAATAAAAGCTCTCCAAATCCCTGGCCCAGGCAGGAATCAGATCCTTCTAGCACTAACACCCTATGACTCTCTGAAATAAGGCTAAGCAGACAAAAACAGAACCACTTCCCTAAAAATGATTAATTTCTGAATTTCAATTCCCTTAAGGAGTTAGCAAGAAGCAAGGGTAGCTCAACACTTGATAAGGTCGCTAAGCAGTGGGAAACAGCATGCCTTTACTCCATGGGTAGCCAAGAGCTACTACTGTATAAGATGAGGGTGAAAAGCATGGAAAACAACTAAGACAGAGTATTAAGGAAAGGTGTGCATCTTTATTCATTAAACCCCTGAAGATTGTTGAATGGCAAAATCACATAATTATGGCTGGGCTTTAAGAAGCTTAATCCTGCAAAACCACACAGGAGGGATGAGAATAGGGAGGCTGGCAGAGAGGAGAGCAGCTGGTGAATCTTATGAGCAAACACAGGCAGAGGAGCCATGTGGCCCAGCCCTGTGTTCATAAAAAACCTCCAGTGATCTCCAAGTAAGACTATGTGTACAGTTGAGAGGCCAATGCCACAGGACTGAGAGAGGCTCACCATTCAGCTGTAAATTCAGGCTCCACAAGCAATGTGACAGCAATAAGTAAAGAATTTTTTCATAGATGAAAATAGATTTTTCAATTTTTTCATTGCAAGTAGTACAGATGTTTGGCATTATTTTGTGTGTATTAAAAGCATTAATTTCTTGAATTATAAGCAGACTGAATATCCATATTCCTGTTTTAAAATTCTTTCTTTTTTTAATATATGAAGAGCCCTGAAAATGGAAGTGGCTCAAGACTCTCACAGCTTCTGAGTTTATTTCAGGTGCCCAGTTAAATGGTAACAAGAGCCTAAGGGGGTGGTGGTCAGGAAAAGTGGAGAAAAAGATCAACTGAAGCAATTTAATGTGGGTAGTCTAGAGAAGACCTGACAGCTACTTGAAGATGGGAGTTGAGAATGATTCTGCAGTTTCTAGCCAAGGTCATTAGGAGGAGGATGGTGCTATTAATAGAGGAGGAAGTCAGAAGAGGAAGTAGCATGCATGAGAAGATGAGTTCTATTTGGGATGTGAAACACCTCCTCTATTCTTTTTGACAACAACATCACTCTTGACCAGGAGTGAAGAAGAGTAAAGAGCCTCTGTCCCATGCTCTGCCTTGGACCATGGAAATGTAAACCATCAGAAAAGCACCCATGCAGTTCTTAGGAAAATCCATTCCTTTAGAGCAGTCCTCAACCTTTTTGGCACCAGGGACCAATTTCATGGAAGACAATTTTTCCATGGATGGGGGGTGTGGGGGTGGAAAGGGGGATAGTTTCTGGATGATTTTGCAGCTGCTCCCCAGCACTAGCTTTACTGTCTCAGCTCCAGCTCAGATCATCAGGCATTAGAGTCTCATAAGTGCAACCTAGATCCCTCGCATGCGCAGTTTGCAGTAGAATTCACACTCCTATGAGAATCTAATGCTGCCACTGATCACTGGCCTGCCACTCACCTCCTGCTATGGGACCTGTTAGGAATCAGGTACCGGGTACCGGTCCACAGCCTGGGGGTTGGGGACCACAGCTTTAGAGAGCTAAGTCATTCATCACAGATTTCCTTGAGAACTCCCCTGTGAGGTTAGCTCATGACAGGTATTATACACATCATTTATGCCCTACAGGGTGGCTTCCTCAAAACAGAGAAAGAACATGGGGACCTAATGCTATGACAAGATTTGGCTTAGAGTACTTTCAGTCTGTGTTCCCGATTCTGAAGACAAAGAGGTTTTTCCCCAACCCTCAACGCTCTTGCCCAATAAAAAAATAAAATAAAATAAAGAATATAAGCTGAAGAACCCGAGATTCAGAAGAACTATACAAGAACTTCGAGATCATCCCAGTCAATCAACTGCTTTTACAGATGAAGAATGCAAGACTCACAAAGGCAAAAGCATACCATTAATCAAGGCAGAGCCAGCTCTAGCACCAAGGTTCCCTAACTGGTCTTCCTACCACCTGGGAGCATCTCAGGACTCATACCCACCTTCCTCATACTCCAGGGCACTGCACTGTCACCTGCAACGATGTATACACACAAGTAGGGCATGTGGCCCTATGTGCTCTCTACATAGAGAGAGAGGCTTGAGGTGGATATAGAAAAAGGAGAGGAGATGAATTCTCTCAGCATGAATCTCTCATCCTTATTCTGAAATCTGTTTATAGTTTCAAGCAGTCTGTCTAGAAATTCCTTAATCTGAATTCAAAACCTCAGTTTTGCTTGAGTTATAAAATGACAGATGGAAAAAATATACATACATACATGTATATATTTACGTATATGCTTTTTAAGCCAAAGCTACAAAAACTTTCATATATTCTAGTGAGAGTAATTATCAGCATAAGTGCACGTAGAAATAATTTAACAGTATCTATCAAATGCATACATCCTCTGACCCAAAAATTTTATTTCTGGAAATGCATCTTATAACTAACTTGCACACATAAAAGGTTATTTGCAGCAGCAATATTTGTTAGAAGATTGGAAATAGCACACATGCTCATTAATAGAACACTTGTTAAATAAATCATGATACAGCTATATAGTAGAATACTACATATCTGAAAAATAAGTACACTATGAATTGTATGAAAAGATCGCTAAGATATTAAGTAGGAAATTCAAAGAACAAAACACTCCTTTTGTATTAAAAGGGAGGCAAGGGAAAAATAAAAATCTATGTTTTTATTTGTTTCTAATGAGATTTTCGGAGATAAAAGATGAAAAATGAAGAGACTTTAGAAAGATACATAAAAAATTGGAAGTGGAGAATGAGATAAGAGGAAGTTATTTCACTGTGTATTTTTTCATTCTCTTTGATTTTTGGACTACATGAATACATTACCTATTCGAAAAACTAAATAATTTTCAAATAGCAAAAGCTACCTACTTAATATACAAAACATTTCATTAAATAAGATGCTTCCTTAAAAAAGAAAATAGAGATTTTAGCATATCCTCAAATGAATCTGATCTTTGAATCTTTAAGCAAAATATGAAATTAGATGACTTTTGTCCTTACTTCTTTAAAAGAAAGTGTTTTTTCTATGCCTTGCAGAAATGTGACACATTTAGTACTTTGATCTAAAAATAATCCCATTTCAAATGTTTTCAAGATAAATCTGAACTTGGTTACTGATATAAAAACTGATCAAATTCCAGCAATGTTGTTACTTTTAAGAGCTCTCCTATCTCACCACCGAAACCCGTACCTTTGTCACCATGGTTCTTCCTCCCATGAGGAATTCGGTGAAGGCACAGGATATAGCCATCTTCTGTCTCAACTAGGTGTTCCTCACTGGGGAATCCCCAGTAAGAGATAATTTCACTCTGCAGAGAAAAAGGACAATGGAAATTCTGTGGACAGAATCTGACACCATCTCCCACATTAGCAGGCAAAGAGAGGAGAAGGTAAAATGTCAATGACATTCTCCATTCTTAATTATTTAAGAAATCAATTGTTATTGAAATTTTAGTCTGCTCAATCTAGTAGTCAACATTCCATCACAATAGTAAATCCTCTACTTGTTCTACCCATGTGTTCTACCCACAGGTGTTTGGTTAAATGTTGGTTTCATCATTCTAGGATTGAAAGGATTTAATTTTATTATTCTGATAGGAAAGAATTTTTTTAAAGAGGGGGAGGTAAAAGAAAAAATTTGGGACAAGAAATAAAACCTAACCCAAAGACCATGTTATCAGGTCATATACTCTCTGGGTTCACTATGAATTTCTCTCAACGTCCCTAAAGTTGCCTGACTTTAGTTGGGTGAATGCATCATCAATTTTAAAGCTGCTGTTTTCTTTCATAATCTGTATTTTCCGGATATTTTGTGCCTAAATGAGATATTTCAGATTTTATTATTTAGTTAAGATTGATAACTTTGAAATATTTTAATTAAAATAGTAATCAAGTGGTTATTTCTGCTTATTTGTTCTAAAAATACTTTTTTCTAGATACTTTGACCTTTGCATTGAATATGATCCCTGGACATTCTTAGTCACAATCTTTGTTCAACGTATTCTAAAATCAGCATTCAGTAACAGTAACATTCTTGCAAAGCTTGGACCCTTTTTTGTTATTCTTTAAACAAATTCAGTGAGACTTAAAAATTAAATGAATAAAAATTATCATTTACCTTTATTAAGAAGTATATATAATGGTAATATGAGGTTTGTTAAATAAGCATTACCTGGTAAGAAAAGTCTAGCAAACTGGATCTAAGATTCAGAGAAAAAGAAAAGCACAGAAGCTAAAAAGAGATCAGAGTTGTGGCTTCATGGAGCCCATATAACTGGATTTAAGAAAATGACATTTGTCACAGATGCATTTGAAAAGCACATGACTTTGAGAAACTTACCACATTCATGTTTACTTCAGGATCCACAGCTGCCCGCTTCCCTCTGGACCCCTCGGAGTGCAGTGTCCCAAGGACCAAACAGACCACCAACACCAAGAGCTGCATTTTCCTTCTGTACAAAATGGTCTATTGTTATTTGCCCAAATTTTGCTACACAAAAATATGTTGGCAGATTAATACTCCCGTCAAACATCTGAATCAGGTTTAGGGCAAGTAAAAGTTAGGTGAAGGATAAAAATGAAACAAATGGCTCCAGCCATAACTCGAAAGGAGAAAATGAGGAATTCTTTTTTACTAAGAAACCTCCCCAATCTCAGTTTGCGTGACCTTTGGGGCCCAGCACACCCACTCACCTACTCACCACAAGGCTAAGAAATTTTTCCTGGAGAAATAACAGAAAGCAACATTTAAAAGAGGACACGTTGACATAAAGGAAGTGCCACAAAATTCCAGAGCATATTTCCTACCTCTTCCCCTCCACTTGTGATTTAAACATTTTTAAGTTCGGCCAGTATTAGCTCTTCCTCCCACTTATCTACCCACTTCTGTTCTTGCTCAAAATTATGTCAGCATTCAAATGTGTCGCTCAAGGGAAAAAAGTGAAATGAAAGAAAAGAGAGCCTTCAAGAGAAATAGAGAGGAAGAATTTGACCTCTTTCTCCCAAAACACTCCAACCATCAACAAAGACCATCCTAGTTTCTGCCAGTGATGGCTCAAAATCACAGCAAAGATCTTGAGGCTATTAAAGGTGAAGTGAAGTGACTCTCCTAAGGACACCTAGAGATGGTTAGTGGAAAAGTTAGAACTAAAGCCCAGGCCTCCTACCCGTTTTTTGTTTTGTTTTTTTTAATAAATATAATCACTTAAAAAGAAGCGTGCATGTATGCCCATACAAAGACTTGTACATAAATGTTTATAGCAGCTTTAATAATGTGTAATTATAGTGTGTAATAGCCAAAACTGGGAAAACTCAAATGCTCCAAATGAGTGACTGGATAAAAAAATTATGGTATATACATACTACCCAGCAATAAAAAGGAATGAACACAACTTTGATGAATCTCAATTATGCTAAGAGAAAGAAGCCAGACCAAAATAAATAAATAAGTAAATACTGTCTGATCCCATTTATATAAAACTCTAGAAAATGCAACCTAATCTATATCGACAGAAAACAGATAAATGGTTACCTGGGGAGAGAAGGGGCAGGAAGAAAGGATTACAAAGGGGTATGCACAAGGAATATTTTGGGGTAATGTACAGGTTCAAAATACTGAATTCACTGATGGTTTCACAGGTGTATACATATGTGAAAACTTATGACATATGCCCTGCTATTGTCTGTCAATAATGCCTTGATACTGCTGGCTTTTGGTTTTTTTCTTAATAGTACTGTGCTTAAACCAAGTATTTCACAAGTCTTAAAAATGGGTTCTCAGGAGATTTCAAAAGTGAATTCACTCCTTTCTGTTGATTCAATTTCTCTTGGAATTATTTGTCCAAGCAGTAGTGAACCCTGAAATTCTAGATGGGAGCAAATGTTATCTTGAAAATGCATTGGCAAAGCAAGACCACTGCTTTTACTTACAAGGGTATATTTCTTTAAGATAGCTGGAAAGGGCTGTACAAACCTGGGTGGGCTACTTGTTATCATAAATACAACTTCCCAAAAGTCCATTGGTAGGTACTAGGGAATAAGGAGTAGACTGAAAAGAAGAAAAGTAAAGGTATAGCCACAATCAAAAATAATGAAGCATTTGGTGGTAGGTGCTTTCCATTCAGAGCTTTTCCTACAGACCCTGGACCAGCTGTTTAGAGGAATCACCATGAGGGCAACAGCTGATGCTACTCAACTGAAAATGTCACCCAGTTAAGTGTTCTTTCCAACACAACACTAAGTTAGTTTCTCAACATAGAAGTCAAGATTCTCACAAAGGCAGAGATCGCGTGAGAAGTTCAAAGAAGAAAAAAAACAAACACAAATCTCCAGGCTGGATTCAGTGTGCTTTGCTGGGCTCTCCTAGCACCTTTATTTCAGTTCTTTAGACTTTGTAACAATCCAATTAAGTATTTATCCGCCTTCATTTCCTGTCAGCCCACAGGGCGGAGCCTGAGTCTGATTCAACTTTGTACCCCCAGGACCTAGTGAAGTGCCACGCACATATCAGATGGACAGTACAGGTTTTGAAAAATGGGATAGGGACGGTCCAACAATTCAGTGGCAAAAGAAAGGAAGGCCCAACGCAGCTTGTCATTTGTCTTTTTTTTTTTTTTGAGACAGCGTCTCACTCTGTTGCTCGGGCTAGAGTGCCCTGGCGTCATCCTAGCTCACAGCAACCTCAAACTCCTGGGCTCAAGGGATCCTCCTGCCTCAACTCCCAAGTAGCTGGGACTACAGGCATGCGCCACCATGCCCGGCTAATCTTTTCTATATATATTTTTAGTTGTTTGGCTAATTTCTTTCTATTTTTAGTAGAGACGGGGGGGGCGGGGGGGTCTCATTCTTGCTCAGGCTGGTCTCCAACGCCTGAGGTCAAAGGATCCTCCCGCCTCGGCCTCCCAGAGTGCTAGGATCACAGGCGTGAGCCTCCACGCCCGGCCGTCATTTGTCTTTCTAGTAACAACAAATTAAGCTCGTGAGTTGCGCCAGACACCGTAGGCAGCGCTTTCGAACCTGTCAATTACTCCACCAACCCTACGGCAGTACCGTGAAATTCATTTTCAGGAAACTGAGGTTCATCCAGGTTAAGTACTGGAAGCAAAGTGTCAGCTGGTGAAATAGTAGTAGCGCTGGGATTTTAACCAGGACCAATGCCCAAGTCTGCTCTCTACCACGCCGTTGGCTAACAAGAGAGGTAGGGGAGGCTACCTGGAGCAGCTAACCCGAGGAGAGGGCGAGGAAAAAGGAGAGCTAGGAATCAGGCTGTCCCCACAGCTAGGAATTCCTGCTGTCCACACAGTCCGGGAGCTCTGGGTAGCTTCAGTGACCAGCCACAGAGCCTGTCCAGGGGAGTGGAGTGCGCCCAGGGCAAGACGGGCAAGTTGAGAGAGCCCCCGACCCTTGGGTATCTGGGAGATGCCTTGAGCCACTGCCCGCAGAAAAGGCATCTACAAGCACCCCAGGCAAGATCCCCCGGGTCCAAATGCTGAGGGTCCTGCCGGCCTGCAGAGACGAGGGCGCGACCCTCCCCTTGGCGCCCGGTGTGGGCAGGCCGGGCACCGGCTCCCACGCCGCACCCGCACCTGGCGGCGCAGCGGGGCCGGCACTCACCTGGAGAGCCGTCCTCCCCGGCCGCTGTCCAGAGCAGCAGTGCCCGCTCGCAAGGACCGGAGTGCAGGGAGGAGGCCGGGAGGGGACCCGGGAGGCCTAGGCGGGAGGGCGGGCGCCTGCTACCCTGCTCAGGCTATTCTGGCAGCCAACCAGAGCCGCGGGCCGCCAGGACGGGCCGCCGACGCTCCGCCCCCGCCCAGCCCGGCGGATTCCAAGCCGCCAGGAGGCCCCGCGGAGCATGCGCCGTGGGCGGGCCTAAGAGGAGCGGGCCCAGCTCTACCCTCTCGCCGCCCGCGCCTGGTCTCCTAGCCGCCGCCTCCAGCTCGGCCCGGGGAGCTCCTGCAGGGCTGGCGCTCTCTGCACCTGGCACAGAGCATGTGGGCTCTATAAATAAAAATAAATCATATGCTCCATATGAAACGCTTAGCATTGTGCCTGACGCGAAGCGATCTTTTGTACATTTTATTTTTTTATTATTAAAGATTTGTGGAAAGGGGAAGAAACAGCAATATTCAGTATGCACATATTATTTATTAATCATTTAATTCAACAAAAATTTTATGGAGCACCTACTAAATGCCAGGCATTAGTGAGACAGTGGGGATATAGAAACCAACCAAACAAGGTCCCTGTTCACCTGCTTACATTCTAATGGGAAGAGACACACCATGAAAAACTGTGTAACACATCAAGTGGTGATAAGTACTATGAACAGCAACAACAAAACCAGAGAAAGGGATAATGGAGGATGCTATGTTATGTATATGGTAATCAGGAAAGGACTCTCTGATGAAGTGACATCTGAGCACAGACGGGAAGGAGGTGAGCCATGTGGATACTGGGGAAAGAGTATTCTGGGGTTAAAATTACAAGTGCAAAGGCCCTGGGGCAGTAATATTCCTGGTGAGTCTAGCAAGAGCAGTGAGGTCTTTGTGGCTGAAATGGAATATACGTGATGGAAAGTAGTAGGACATGAAGTCCTAGAAGAAGTTGGGTGCCTTGGGGACCACTTGTCATGGCTTGGACCAGTATGGTGATAGCAGTGAAAGTGGAGAAAAATAGTCAACTCCAGATATGTTCATAATGTGGAGCCAACAGGATTTGCTGGTGGATTGTAGACAGTTATGACAGGGAAAGCAGCGTCAAGAATGGCACTACTGGGTTTAGTAAAATGGAATTGCCATGAATTGAAATGGAGAAAGTACCAGGAAGAGCAGCTTGAGTGGGAAATCAAGAGTTTGTTCTAGATGTGTTGATTTTGAGGTGCCTGTTAGAGAACTCTATCAGCTCAGGCCATGTCAGGAAACAGAAACCACTTTAGGCATTCCAAACAGTGAAAATGGTTACACAGGTAATGGCATTGCTGGGAAGCCAAACAGGATTTGAACAGTCACCACAGAGATTATTAGCAACCATGGGAAGAGCTGGGGCATTATCGGGAGAAGGAAGTATCACTAGGGACCAGAGATTGGGCAGTAGTCTCTGCCAGAGACATTACCTAAGGCCGAAAGAGAGGAGCTAGAAATATCTGGGCTTTCCTTTCCTTCTTCCCTTCGATCTTCCCCAAGTCCCTTCTGTGGGTTCAATGCAGCCTAAAGGTGGCTGACACAGGAGCCTAAGAAATGCAGCTTGCAGGGGTCAGACCCCTCCACACTCCACAGTACAGAGCAGAACAGGGAAGGACAGGGAATGGATCTGGAGGAAAAAAGGCAAAGATAAACAAATCATCCATATGGAGATGTTGAGTAGGCTCTAAGATACATAGGTCTTGTATTCAAAGTCAGGCTAGAGATAGAATTTGGGACTAATCAGATTAGAGACAGTATTTAAAGCCATGAGACTGGATGAGATCTCCTGCAAAGTGAGCATAAATAGCAAAGAACATACATAAAGATTGAGAAGATATAAAAGCTGAGAAGACAGTGAGGTTAGAGGAGAAATGAATGTGTTGTACTTGACACTAAGTGAAGAAAAAAATTTCAAAAAAGAAGACATGACCAGCCCAGGCAAGTGACAATGACAGCTTGAGCGAGGTATGCACAGAGAAATGAGCATCAGATTTAGTGGCACTTCTGTGTGTCAGACATTGTGCTAAGCCCTGTACATAGGGTGTGTCATTCAATCCTCAAAACTGTCTTCATATCCCCATTTTATAAGTGAGGAAACTGAAGCTTAGAAAAGTTGGATATATTGCCCCAAATCACAAAAGTATAAATGCAAACCAGGCAAACAAAATCCAGGTTATCTATGAATGAATGAATAAATGAAAATAAATACAACCAAGTTTCTTCACCCAAATAAGGGAGGATGTTCCTCACTTCCTGCTTTGGGCCATTGCAATCCACAATGCCTTGTGAATGACCCATGCTATTACTATGTCAAACTTAATAATAAACAGAGAGGGAGACTCTCTGAAAGAAAATGATATTTATTCAGCAGTAGCATTGCAATGGAAAAACATGCCATTGTACAGTGAGTACATTTTAAAGAGGTTGAGGCAGGGGAAGTTTTTAAAGACAAAAGGAGGAGGATTACATAAGTTGTTTTGAATCAATTATCCTTGGCTACAAAGATTAATAACAAGGGTGGCGTCAGTCCAAGGTTGGACAGGCAGTTGCTAGAAAGACGTCCTTGCCGAAGCATTTCCTGTGTAAGTTGTAGTGGTTGGTCTTTGTGCAAGGTTGTAGGTTTTGCAGTCCTTTGTGATAAATTGGCATACATACATGAGAACTCCCTCCCTTCATGGTCTTCCTTGGATCCATTTGTCAGGGTTTTAACACAAGTGACTACATTTTGATTTTGACAACTTTTTACACTATAAAGAGAAAGTTTTACAGAAGAAAGCAGTAACAGTGGTGTGTGTGTGTGTGCATATGTGCGAATGCATGCGTGTGTTTGGGATGGGTACTTTTTAAGCCAGACTGGTGGATTGAAGACAGAAACAATATTGGTAGCAGTTCTGCTTCCAACCGAGATGGAGTAACAATGACCAGATTTATTCTCCTACCTTAAACAACAGGGGAAAAAAAAGTATAAAACAATGGTTTCAGACGTTGGACAATAGACCGTGCAAGGGAGCAATCCCTGAGAAGAGGAAAACAAATGAAATGTGCCCTGTGATGCCTCAGATAATTACTGCCTGGAGAGAATTTCCAGGCTGCAGTTCAGGGAGGGGAAGCCCAAGCAAGCTCCAGTGATTTCTCTGAATGGAAGACACAGGTGAGAATTCAGGAAGACTAAGGCAGCAAAGTTGCAAGGCAGAGTACTGGAGTGGAGAGAGCTGAAGGGAGAGAGACAGTGAGAGAGAGGGAGATCTGGAGAGCTGCAGAGGGTTCCCCTCAAGTCTTTGACTCTTTGGCTAAGTAATGTCGGAGCTTGCATATGAAGAAACTGCACTAGGCCAGGGAAAGAACCACCCACAGATGGTGAAATCTTTAAGGCTCACACAGAACTTGGAATGGCTCACTTTACAGCCAGAATGGGAAAACCTTACAATATACAAGGCACCAGGTGGAAGATTCATAAAGCTATATCCTCAGTATTGGAGCAAAATTAGCCCTTGGTTAAGATTACTTAAAATAAGAGTACCAAAATAGGCCCTCAATTAATTTTCACCAAGGTGCCATGACAATTCAATGGGGAAAGAATAATCTTTCTAATATATGGTGCTAGAACAATTGGATAGCTATTGCAAAACAGTAAACCTAGACCCTTAACTCACATCTTACAGAAAAATTAACTCAAAATGGAACATACACATAAATTTGAGAGCTAAAACTATAGAAATCCCTAGACAAAAACAAAAGAGAAAACCTTAGGGAATTTGGGTTTTGTCAAGGATTTTCAAAAAATATATAATACGAAACACACAACCTATAAGAGAAAAAAGAGCAGCTGAGGATGGTGGTGTGTGCCTGTAGTCCGCGCTACTTGGGAGGCCTAGAAGGAAGGATGCCTTGAGCCCAGGGGTTGAAGACCAGCCTGGGCAAGAGTGAGATCCTGTCTCTAAAATAAACAAAAAAATTAAAAATTAAAGTTGTTAAGAAAAAGATCAACAAGTTCAACTTTTTCAAAATAAAAACTTTTCCTCTTCAAAAGATGCTTTATAACCGTAATGAGATACCACTTTATACCCACTGGATGACTATAATAAAAAAGACAGATAATACCAAATGTTGGTAAGGATGTGGAGAAATTTGAACCCCCACACACTGCTGGTGGGAATGTCAAGTGGTATGGTCACTTTGGAAAACTGTGTGGCAGTTTCTCAAAAGGCTAAACATAGCATTGTCGTATGACCCAGCAACTGCACTCCCAAATACATACTCAAGAGAAATAACTTATATCCACGTAAAAACTTGGACACAAGTGTTCATGGGAACATTACTCAAATAACTGAAAAGTGGAAACAACCCAATGTCCATCAACTGATGAATGGATAAACAAAGTGTGGTATGTCCATACAATGGAATATTATTCTGTAATTTAAACTTTAAATGCTGATCTAAGCTACAACAAGCATGAATCTTGAAAATATTATGCTAAGTGAAAAAAAACAGTCACAAAAGACCATTCCATTTATCTGAAATGTCCAAAATAGGCACATATATAGAAAAAACAAGTAGATTAGTGGTTGTCTAGGGTTGGTGGTGGGAGTAGGGAGAAATTGGGTTGATGGCTAAAAGGTTGGTGGGGAGAGGAGTTGGGGTGAAGAAAATTTTCTGAAATTAATTGTGACAGTGGTCGCACACTCTATATGCTAAACGCCATTGAATTGTTCACTTTAAAGGGGTTAAATCTTAACCTGTTTTTAAAAAGTTTATAAAATGATAAGATGTGCTCCTTACAATTTAATAATAATAAGACTAAAAACTCAATCAAAAACAGGAAAAATGAACAGAAACTTCACCAAAGAAGATACATAAATGACAAACATGTGAAAAGATACTCAACGTCATTAGTCATCAGGGAAATGGAAGTGAAAACCAGGAGATACCACTATTCCACCCACCACAGTGGCTAAAATTAAAACATGTTGGTGAGGATATGAAGCAGCTGGAAATCTCATACATTGCTGATGGAAATGTAAAATGGTACAACCACTGT